CTTAACAGTACTTTACTACTTGGTTTTGTTTGTTTTCTAGTGTATAAAAGTGGGAACCTCATCTTTCTAGTTTAGCGTTTAAGTATTTTTTAAACTTATTTTTGACATGCTTGGTGTAATGTTCTACATAGACTCAGCTACTTAGAAGGCTAAGGCAGGAGGTCTCAGACTAGTCTACTGGAGCAGCTGGACAACATAGTGACATCTTGTATTAAAAAAAAAAACTGAGCCGGGCGGTGGTGGCGCACGTCTTTAATCCCAGCACTCAGGAGGCAGAGGCAGGCAGATCTCTGAGTTCGAGGCCGGGCTGGACCAATAGCCTCCGAAACAATACAGGGAAACCCTGTCTCATAAAAACCAAAAACCAAACCAAAACAACAACAACAAAAAAAACCTGATTTGGGGAGATGGAACAATGAGTTATGTGCTTGCTACACAGGCATGAGAGCTGGAGTTCAGATCCTTAGCACCCATGTAAACAGCTGGGCGTGATGGCACATGCCTGTAAGTCCAGCATGGATGGGGGTTAAAGGAGAGGATCTGATGGGCTTGCTGGCCAGCCGGTTTAGCTAGTTGGTCAGCTCTGCGTTTAGTGAGAGACCCTGTCCCCCAAATAAAGTCGAGAGTGAGAGAAGAAAGTACCCACTTTTGACTCTGGCCTCTATACACTGTACACACAGTTCTACTCCCCACACAGACACACATGCAGACACACACACACACTGCTGTAATTTTCCAAATACTATATTAGACTCAGACTTCCATGTCTTTTTCACTTGCATTCAGCTAATCACTTTCTCACTTCCCTTGATTTGACCTGTAATTTACTCATAGTTTCCAAATATTTGAAACTTATTTAATTTTTGCTATTGAGTCTTTTGAATCCTACATTAGAGGTAGCATACTTTGTGTAATTTGAATTGTTTTAAGTTTTGAGGAAGTGGTTTATGTCTTCTACTATGCTTTGGCTGATAACATTCCAATCGTGTGAAGACTGTATAACATGTTATTATGGTTAGTGTGATCTTCGTTTAGGTTATGTTGGCTGACAGGGTTGTTCAGGCTTTTCTCTTCACTGAATAAAGGCTGGAAATTTTTAGACATAATTTCTTCATATATTTGTCTTCCTCTCATGTTTAATTCCAACTTTCTAACACGTCTTATTTCATTTTAGTAGTTTCATTATTACTTGTTCGTTACTGATGTCTTATTTTTTTAATGTCTTGTGTTAATCTACCCAAGATAATTTATCTTCTTGTATTTTTCCTTGTCTCTTTCTTATCTCTTAGCATGCTCGCATCTCTTCAGTCTTCTTTAATATGGAACATTTATAATCTAATGAGTATATTCATTATACTCTATAATTCTATCATCTATATCTTTTATGGATTTCTTTTTCTTTGTTATGCCATTTTATTTTCCTGTTTCTCTGTACATCATGCATTTTTGGTGCTGAGACATTTTGAATTTTAAATTGTTGGGTAATGATTGATATGTAATGATTGATAATGTATGTATTTGTAACATGAACACACAAACATAATATCTGCTGCATTATAAATGTGCAAATATTTTTTGAGCTTTGTACTGGGACATGACCAAGTTATTTGGAGGCACTTTTATCTTTTCAAGACTTGTTTTTAAACTTAGGCAGGAGCATCTTAGCTGTCAGAGCTAATCTGACCCCTCACCAGCCAGCCATCTGCCATGTTCACACAGGTGCTGCAGTTCCTGTTAGGTTGCTGTGCCGATGTAGATACTCAAGCTACATAAATGAACCTATCTTGTCCCAATGCGCACGTCCACTCATGAAACAAGATGCTACTACATTGCTGTGATCTTGCTGGTGAGAATGGCAGTGCTCCCCAGCTAAGTGATTCACCTCATCCATTCTAGTTCTTTACTTGGACTGGGAACTTCTGCAGGCATTAGCTGATCACATTAAAGACTTGAGAGCCTCTACTCACCAGCATAGCTTTTTGCTCTGCAAATTCTTGCTGCGGCTGGCTTCCTCAAGCTCTCAGTTGTCAACTAAAGGAAACTATAGTTTGGAGGGTTCCTTGCTTGTGGCGTGGCCTCAGAGTAGTTGTGGCCATTTTAGGACTGACATTTATCTATTCTTGGAGAGCTCTAGCATGTTTCATTCCCACTGTCTGAACACTTCTTGTTTATGTAATCCTTTGGCTTTTACAAGTAAAAGTGTTTTGCCTGCATGTATGTATGTGCATGCCTGGTGCCCACAGAAATTGGAGGGTGTTGGAGCCTTGACACTGGACTTAGATGATTGTGAGATACCACATGAGTGCTGCCCTCTGAAAGAGCAGTAAATGCTCTTAGCCAAATAACTATCTCTTCTCCAATTCCCCTGTGGTTTTCTCTTGTCTAGAAATTGAATAGATTGTTGGATACTAACATTCCACCTTGTTTCCAGTCGGCATTCAGTAAGTATGTAGTATATTGAGACAAGCCCTCCCATCTGCCTATTAGGGAATATGTTCTCCCTCCCCACTGTTAATGTCAACAGACACTTTTCATTGGCATAGCACATTTTTCTGTAACCGACCAGGCAGAAAATCCTACTCCTATGGTTTTTGTCTGGATCCTAATACCTTAAAAGACACAGCAGTATCTTTAAAGCGAAACCAGTCACTGAAGATATAATGCTTGAGGCACAAATACTTGCAAAACTGAAGAAAACACAAGCCACCCATAGCCGATTAAAAATCAATGGTTAGGAGCTAAAACTTCTGCCTGTTTCCAAGGGAGACCGCTTTAGCTCTCCATGGCATCTCATCCATGATTTCCCCCAGAGCAGCCCAGTTTGGCCTACTTACCTTTTGATGCCTGCTTGCTGGCTGTGACCTGCTTCCTGAGCAGAGAATGGGCAGAGCCAGCTAAGGTAAATGAAAGAGGAACATCTGGATTATGTCCTCCCTCCTCCAGTCCCTTTTGTTACAAAGTAGGTTGTTTTGCTCCCAGAATAAGTCGCTTCCTAAGGTCTTTGAGAGCACTGCTGTCCAGGTGAGTACCGTTCTCCAGTGAGAACAAGAGGGCACCCAGCTTCAGGGTGGCTGTGGTCTGTGCTTCGTTTTATGTAGCTCCACATTACTGTGAGATAGACATTCCTGAACCAGGGAAATGGAGAAAATACTCATCTAATTCGGATCTTTCAGATGATGAGCTTAACATCTTAAAGGACAATGAAGGAAAGTGGGTGTAAATGGTTTCATATTTTCAGATTTATGCATAATTTGGATCATTGTGTGTGCGTATGAATGTAGGGATATAAAAATCAGTGCCTTGAAGCCACGCAAAGACTATGGCAGAAGTGCCAGTATGACTGAGGACAGACTTCCATTTAAATAAATGATGAAGCACATGAAAGAAAGCAAATCATCAACATTAATCTGATCGGGTCTCATAAGAAAAGGCAGTTTATTAAGTTCAGGTTTTGGTTGTGTTGCTGAAGTCTTGTGCTTACCTAGCTGTGTCTGATGAAGACTTCAGATCTCGTATCAGTCACATGGCATGCATATGGCCTGGCTCTGCCCCCCAGAACTTTCACAAGCCCTTTACCTGTCTACTAGGATTTTTGCAGCTGTGAATAGTAGCTACTACCCAACCCTTGGAACTGTTTATACAATGGCATGTCTTTGCATATTGCAGTCTTCGGGACAGTGCTATGTCAACAGAATCTTTCTATTACCCTACAATATATACCAATGTTGAGTTTTCATAATCCACTGGAGATTTAAAAAATGGGGACATTATAGAGTTAACAAAGGTGAAGTGACTTGGCCAGTGTCCCAAATGCAAGGACCTAGAAAAACCAAAAGGCTGGTTATTCCAAGTTGAGTGTTGCTTACTGGGATGCTTGCATAGAGCACTGGTGGAGGACACTGGGGTCTGAAGGCCATTTTATGGGCTCTGTTGGGTTTTTGTTTTAATTGTTTCACTCAGCACTTCCTAGACCACATCCTGTTTGTGCTGAGCTAAGTGTTACCTGTTTCCAAGAGGCGGCAGGGTCCAGGGCATCTGGAGGTGACGGGAGTGATGATGTGGTCTTCTCGCAGCTCTTCTATTGCTGTCTGATGCTGTTACATTTCTCCAAAAAGCAGCAGAAATCTATGCTAAGAAGAGGACACAAAGCTCCTACGGAGAAGTTCCTGGGGGTTGGCTCTCAACCCATCTGCTCCTGGAGGTCCTGAATTTAGTGTCACCTTGTCAGGACCAAAGGCTCAGGCTTCATATTTGAAAAACAGTCACGTGTGGAGCCGGCTGTGGAGCGCTTTAGGAACAGATTACAGCAGGTTAAACAGCAACAGCTCCATCATATAGACCACTGGAGGGAGTGTATGCTTGTCTTTGCAGTGCTGAACTTAAACTCAATACATGCGAGGCCAGTGCTCCACCACTAAGTGATATCCTTTTTATTTTCAACACTCAAATACAAAAACTTCATATTGCCTGTACTGATTTCTAAGTTCCCTTTTATGTCTAAAGCGTGAAAGTAATGATTATAAATTAAGTAATACTTGCTTTTTATATGATCAATAGTAACTCTATTACTAATCTTCTCAATGTCAAGTCATTTGGAACAATGCTGACCTTGATGATAAAGCACATATGATATCAAAAGCAGTCAGGAAGGCTGGACCAGCACTCCAATACTACAAGCATGGTTAAGGCATCTGTCTGCAGCTACTCAGCTACAATAATGCAGAGCATCAAATGTGGTGCCATGGCAACCTCTCTGGGGTAGTAGCTTTTGAAACTCCCCTTCTATTATTAACAGACTTGACTTCATATTGTGGTAGGTATCCTCGGAGCGTACAAAATCAGTGACTAATTTTTCTTTGAGATTGTATGCAGGCAATGCTCCTACCCAAGTTTGAATACCAAAATCTAACCAAATAGAAGTTATTTGTACTTTCTGGTGTGGCCACAACTAAAAAGGGAAAAAGTACACCAATAATTCTTCTTCTTTATTTCATACAAAGGATTTGCTGTGAGTCTGCAAGTCATCTTGTCCAATCCTAAAGCTGTGTTTAAGCGCCGTGGATCTCAGCCAGGGATGCAGGAATCTGACTTTCTAAAGCAGATAACGACAGTTGAAGAGCTGGAACCAAAAGCTAATAACTGCACAAAGGTACTATTCACCTCCCTCACGCTGCTCGGCCTCAAGTGCTGACAGTGCGGCTGCTTAACCTGTCCCCTCCCCCGTAGGTTCTCGTGTGGCACACTCGGACAGAGAAAGTCAATCTAGCCAACGAGCCCAAGTACCACCTGGACACAGTGAACATTGAGGTGTAGACACCAAGACCAGCAGATGTACAAGAGGAAGTCTGGAGTTTAGGCTGCAGCTCATTCAGGTATTGTTCCTTTTCTCAGCCTTTCCTGTCAGCTGATGGACATCTGTTTAAAGAGCTAGCTGGATGCTACAAAATGTGTTGTCTTCATTTGTTCTGCATGTGTTCTCTAAAACGTAATTGGAAAGATTTTTGTACAATGAAGTTACGTGACATGTACGGCTCCTCCCTCCCTCAAGCCATCTCATAACTGATGGAATAGGTTTTAGAACCTGATGATGAATATTTTGTCAACTAAATAGTCCCAACTCTTGGTTTCACAACACAAAATATTTGGAAAGTGTTAGTGGCAGTGTACACTGTAGGAAATAAAACCCACAAATAAAAAAAGGTGTGTGGATTCATCTGTTTAATATAGGGAAATAACATTTTGTCAATACTAGGCACCATAAAATGTAAACACAATTACTGTCATAAACCTGGATATACCTTCAAGGATTAAAAGTGGCTTTGTAATAGTTACCCTGTGTGCATATAGTGCAGAAAAAAGGTCTTCATATTAGCACTATGTACATGAGAAGAGGTCCAAATTATAAGAGGCAGCAAAAATTTGAATTCTTAAATCATTAGGTTTTACAGTAACATCCAGGTTTATCTCCTTTCACTAATCACGTTCCCTGTTAAGCACATCATAACAACAGCACAGTGAAGTGAGTGATGAATAAAAGAATGATATACTAGAAAACAGTGTTCAGTGATACATTTACATTCTATTTATATGATTAAACATTTGATCATACAGTACCTTCCTACAGGATTACTGGCTAATTTGGGGGTGGGGTTTATACTGTTAGAAGTATTACTAACATGATAACTACTTCCCTTATATGCAAACATTAGAGCTATAATTTTGAGAATAAAACCGATTATGCGAGTTAACTGAGCAGCTTCTCAATGTGGTTTATGACATCATGGGAAACATGAGCAAAGCTGCCCTCCACAGAAGATGGGTTTCTCAACCTGCTTTCACATCAAATTTAATCAGCACAGACCACCACGGTCAATCAGGTAATTCTTAATGTGAACAAATGGGGGAAAAGAAAATACATATGTACATGAATAAACGGGAACCAGATGCCTTTGTAGCGAGGAATGTCGGGTGTTGGTTCTGGATGAAACTCTGCTGCGGCTTTTCACTTCCACAGCTGTGTGCTCAGAGTCTGTCCCGATGAGCTTCCAGACCACCCTGCTGTTGTGCTTGGGGGCTGGCCAAAACCTGTGGTCGGGTTTGCACTACTGAGACTCATGCCAGCCATTTGCTGATTCATCTGTGAAACAAATAAAAGGCTTAGTTTACGAGGACTATTTACCTCTCATTCTCTAGCTACAGCCAGATATTTCATCATTAATGTGAAAATTAGTTAAGCGCTGGCAAAGCAGACCACACACAAGTTATCTCTATACTGAATCTAATAACTTTGTTACTTATTTTTTCCTGTGTCTATGAAGTAATCCATACTTAGTTCGCTTTCTATATACAAATTTTTATCCCAAAGATTAACCATATTTGAAAAAAGTACCAAAGTAATCTCTGCATTTGTATCTGAGTATGAGTCCGTCCATCTCTCTTTCAACTACACAGGATATTTTTTTCTGTGATTCCCCAAGGACCAAGAAATTTTAGAAATTAAAACATCCTAAAATTACTCTAATATTTATAAAAACCTGTAATTCTCTATTAACATCCTAAATGACTTTAATATACTTTCTAAATGTTGAAAAGGTCATATAGCATGTTTTGGGTTTTGTATTGTAACAGCTAAAATTAAATTTCATTATATGCTATAAAATAAAAGATGTGTATTTTTTTCCAGGCTAGAGTTCAGTACATTTATCAGCCTCTTAGCTAATCCAGTGGTTCTCTCACTACCAAGGATGATGGAGCAGGAGAGGCAGGATTTACCATAATACAGTTCCAAACCCATGAGCAGTGTAAAGTGTGTTCTTTTTGTAAAACACAGTAACCACACCAGAGCTCCATGTGTCTAGAGGCAAGCAGATCACAAACACTCCCATGGCCTTGCTGACAGGACTGTGGTTCATCACTGGCTCATCTGTAATTTAACTGAATGCTCAGTATCCTGGCCACAGAAAAGCTGTCATTAACATCTGGCACTTGTAATTGTCCAGGTTTCCAGTGTGTACACAGTGTGGTTCGTGTAGTCCTATAAACCACACTTATAAAAAGAAATACCTCATAAGTACTTGTAAGACATTTGGTGATTTTGCTAATGTCCATTAGAAATCAACGTTCTGAAAGTAAAACTACTGGTCTTATAGGAACGGAGACCCCTAAGATGCAGGAAAGGCAATGTGAACATGAACGTTAATTCAAAAGTCTCTGACTGCACAGCTACAGCAAAGTCAGGACAGCATTTAATACAGAAATGTTACTCCTCGGCTTAAAACTAACCCAGATAGACATGGAATTTATGAGTGAGTACCCGAGGTAAGTAGGGTTTTACTATCATAGGGACTCTCCAGCCAATGGGTGCTCCTCATGCCCTAACCATATGACAGAGAGAGCCTTGATCCCTCATAAAACACTGCTTTGAGAATATGAAGCTGGCTTTCTTCTCATTGGTAAGAGTTAACCAACAAGAATCCAGGCTTACTAGTGAAGATAGCCTGAAGTGGATGACTAAATGACCCCACCCAGCAGCTGAGTAATGCTACTGCTAAGCCTTGCAGGTAGTAGATGAGGAGGAGGTGTCTCTCGTATGCTGTAAAAGATAAGGTCTAGCTAGTACAGGTAGATTAGGCATTTTTCACATTACAGGCTGAAATGGGAAAAGGAGAATCCTAATGTTTCTTTACAGAATACTCTTAAAAACAGTACAGTAAAAAGTCATTTATCTATCTGATAAACCCTCATGACGTCTATAAAACATTAGATTTCACAGCGAACTACTCAGAATATGCGCATGGCTTCTTAGATTTGAGGTGGTAGACAGTTCATGAGTCCTACCTGTGAGAGATTCCACTGAGGCTGCTGAGCTTGTGGCAGGCCAAACTTACTCTGTGGTGCACCCATCTGTCCTACCATTCCTCCTTGAGGGCCAACAACATTCTGAGGAAGTTGCATCACTCCAGTCTGTGCATTTCCCATAAACCCATTGGGCATGGGCATGCCCACCATCATGCTAGTATTTTGTCCCATCATGTTTCCTATAAGACCGGGAGCCGCAGGCACTGGTACACCCATGGAAGGAAAACCTTGAAATGCAGTCGCTGCTTGTGAGGTAAATGGTATATTTGTAGGTCCCATAAACACACCTGTATTAAGAACCATAAATTTAAAAAAAAAAAAAAGGTCAAAAAGAGGCTCTTTAATATGGCTGCACTCATCTCCAGATACAGAAAAGAGATAGCTTCCTGACCCACCGAGCAGACAGCTTAAAATAACCCATACCTTCAAAGCCTGTTATTTCCATAACACAGACAAATGTACTGTCTATTGTGAAAGGCAAATGCACAGCCTGAGAGTACATGTTGCTCCTGCTCACTCCCAAACCAACCAGGCAGGTAACCAGGTGGTTATTTCCTTTTATGAGGAAGTAGGTGGGTAGCCACACGGTTCCAGTCTATTTTTGAGACAAGTTTATTTTGGATGAAAGGGCTTGATGGATTAAAACTGAATGAATTGAATGCTTTTATTTCACTATAATGACAAGGCATTTAAGTTTTGCACATTTGCTTATTTGTTTGCCTGTAGAGCAAATAGAGGGTATACAAAGTCAAAGTTCATGTAAATCAAATTCTAGTGATTGTTCAAAGAAATTCATGTCCTATAAACTTGTAGAACAATATTAAGTGATATGTGAACAACCTGTCAAATGAATAAAGTTTTGTGAATCCTACATTGTTTAATTCTAATGCTTCATTCATTTCATTCATGTAGAGAAGCATCCACTACTACCATAGGAAAATGCAACTGATATTGCAGTTCAAGTGATGTCATCTATAATACCACTGTCATTCACTGGAAGCAGAGTTCAACATCAATTACCAGGAGTGCTTTGCTGTGTTCCTGTGCCATACAGAGATAAGATGGAGTCTTTGGAGAGTTGTTTCTTTGCTACTTCTTCTGACTTTGTAGTTTGCTCAGTGAACAGATCCAGATCCCCAGATGTTACAGTAGATAGGGTAGCAGCTGCTGGTACAGAGGCTGTCCCCTGGACAAACACCAAAGTAAACTGTCAATTTCTACATAACACAGTTTAGTACTTAAAATTCACATAAGATTATGAAATTTGGAGTAAATTACAACAGGTATAATTGTGATATCTATAAAGATCATTTTTGAGCCCACATAAACAAGAGCATCTAGATGAAGGTGCAATGTTTCACAATGTGACCTGTTATTGTAAACCAAGGAGACTGAAGCTCCTTATAGCCACATTCAGTAGCTGGGACACAGCAGCTTTTGCTCATCACATCTTGAATGCAATGGATCTGACAACATGCAGGTACTGCCACCATGTCTCTCAAGAACTAGTGTCACTTGGAATAAAGAATGTTACAACTTGCAGAAGCAAAAGGTTCTATAATGGCAGACTAAACTTTATCTACCTATTCAGGCATATCCTGCATGCTATTTTGAAGCAAATCGACACAAGTAATTTAGATATTTAATACAAACAAGTTTCCCCTTAACCTACTTACACAAAGGTAGAATTGCATAATCACAACTGACAGTCTTGCTTAATTTGTTTTAAATATGAAAAAAAGTAAGGATTCTCTGAAGAATGCTGGCTCACATTCTTCTCAAACTACAGACTGAGGTGAGTAGCAAGTGGAAGTTGAATTCACACATTCACTGTCCCGAGTAGGACATTCTGCAGTAAAATACTATCAAAGTATTTTATTCAAACTTGTTAAGCAGAGCCATACTTTGAACCTATTATGACTAATTGAGCAAGACTTATGTCTTACTTTGCAAACGCTCTAAAAATTAGACATGACAGAATACTAAAACATAGTCTCTTTTAATCTGACAATATCTTAGTTACCAATGAAGAAGCATAGGACCACAGAGGCCAACAGAATGCTTCCAGGCTAGACTAGATCCCTACCCCTGAGTCTTGGGATCTGTATGTCACCCACCTTCTGTCCTATGAAATGAGGACAGGCTTTGTAACCACAGGGCTTTTCACAAGAGAGTGTTAAGTATTAACTACTCAGTATTTATTGTTCACACTGATGACAAAATGGCATCACTACATGATCCTTTCATCACATTTCGCTTCTGTGCAACACAGGAATCTACTCAACCTCTTGGGTTCTTGATGAATGAGATTTCATCATGAAAAAAACCCAAATGGTTGAGGGAACACTAATTCTGGTCTCATAGTAGAGCAGTCTGACAAACATTCTCATGATCTGAATATCCAGTAAGTAAATATGAACATCTACCGCAACCCAGTCTAAGTGGCACAGCTAGAAAGCACCTGAAGTCTGCTTCTCTACCAGGGTTGTACTTGCCATCATCACTTCACCACCAAGGTAAAAGGAAAACCATGCTTGCCTGTTGCTTTATAATTCAGGTTTTCTGGCCTTTTGGAAAATCCCGGGGCTTAAACCATGGGCAGTTATCAGCACTTGTGCATGCCTACAGATTCTTTCTCACATATTCATATTCTGTGTCTCCTCCTCCCTTCCATGTGTGAGAAGACGGCAAAGGGCTGTTGTGTCCATCTTCTCTCACCCCATATGCATGCACGCTTTTGTCAACTATTTCCAGACACATGGTAAGCCCAGGCTATTTCATATTTGCACATGGGCAAAACTGTGATTAGAATTTACATATGATTAGAAAAATCAAAAATGTTCAGAGTAATTCATGATCTTAGTACTTAATCCCAATTAAAGCTCAATTTCATATACTAAAAAACCTACCACAATTAGCAACTTTCACAGTTTCAACATTCTTATGAATGCACACATATAAGATATCCTTTATTGGCAAAAGCAATATGTTGAAAATGTACTTAGATTTAATCTTAGCATGTAGTTTGCATAAAAGGCAATTCTTTTCATCAAATATTTTACAGGGCTCAATACAACCAGCATAAGCAGTAGTCAAGAAAAGAATTAAGATGTGTTTTTTAAAATGAACCACACAATGTTGGAGAGGCAAGTCAATAGTTAAGAAGAACACCCAGGTTAACTTAATTTCACAGCACCTTCATGGTGCTCACAACCGTTCTGAAAGATTCTATCAGCCTCCTTGAGTGAGTGGGTAGAGGGGGGGTGGGACAGGAGAGAGAGAGAGCACAAGCACCTTACCATGCTATGAGGTACTAATAAGAATGTACGAAGCATAAAGGTTAGTCTTTAGAACTTACCAGCTGGCATAAAGGTTAGAACTTGGAGTTTACCAACTGGCTGGCCTGTCAATGAAGATTCAGGAATCTACCTGCCTTCCTACCACCTCAGCGCTGTGGTTACAGACACATGCTGCTGTGCACAAGTTTTTGTGTGGGTGCTAGGGATCTGCATTCATGACTTAATGCTTACATATCAAGCATTTTATTTAATAAACCATCTCCCCAGTCTCTGTTTAGACATGAGTCGCAGCAGGAACTGAAAGGCCCAAAGCCACCAATAAGCTAGCTAGTTACCTTTCCTAAAATATATGCTATTGCTATACTTTGATAATAACTCATTGTAGCCTAATTACCAAGCAATTTACTTGTTAAATTCAAGGTAAGTACACAATAATTTTATAATAAATAATTATTCATCTCAATGAGACAGACTTGTTATTAAAACTTTTACATATTCCATATTTTATATATTGCATCTCAAATACTTTTCAGAAAACACAGTTTTCTGTGTGGGAGGGACTGACAGTGTTGCAGGCTTGCAAGTGACTTTAAATTGCACCCTGGAAGTTAACACTTCAACTGAAGGAAACTCTATACAATGCTACAAAAAATAATTCAGAATTCTTCACCATTAGTATTTTAAAAAATCTTATTACCACTTTCAACAGTTTTTATTTAATCATTCAAAGAGCACGATTTCATTTTAAGACTAACTTAAAACATAATTTAACTTCAGAGAAATACAAACATTTAATTTTCTAGAACCTACTCCAATCAAAATGTAATAATAAAGACAACGTTAGTAACAGTGGCTTGTGAGTTAAGCTCAGGTTGAAGTTGTCACCCCCACCCCCACATATGCATTCTAGATACTGTTGTTTCCCTGAAACAACGGCTTAAACTTGAAGGATGGCAAAGTCTGTCTGTACGGGTCATGACAGTCTATCTCTGTTGCTTAGCACCAAAGTAGCTGAAAACTATAAATCAATGTGTCGGAATAAAACTTTATCTGTTTAAACAAAATGAAACTGCAAAAGAAGTTTGCTAAGCCCTGGCCTAAAGAATAGATTTTCAACCAATGACTGCTCAGGGACAACAATTTCAAAGTTAAATTTCTGAAGCTTTTCAAAAAGAGGTGGTGGTCATACAGAACCACATTTCACTGCATACCTGAGCTGGGGGCATGACAGTTGCAGGTAAAGGATTAGAAATCATTGGTCCAAAAATGTCCAGATCGTCATTCAGGGGTGGCACTGTGGTTGTACTCCCATTGGTCACTGGTGCCTCAGCAGGACCATCTGAAAGGAATGTAGATTTTGTCAACATAGAATCTCAAGTTACATGAAACAGGATGCTTTATTTTAGTAGTTTTTTTTTTTTAATAAAAACAATTTAAAAGAAAACTGTGTTCCCTTCTATCCTAGGATCCACCCTCCACCCAAACACTTCATGTTCCTTTCTACCCTAGGGTCTACCCTCTGTCCCAAAGAGAACACTTTAGTGTTGTTTGCTTTCTCAGAAACCCTTCTGCTGCTTTCCAGGACTAACTCCAACCTCTTCTGAACAAATGGTTTCACACTACTCACAATATTCTGAGGACTTGTTTTTTTGAAATCACCAATGGTTTTTATCTAACCCCAGCACACACACAAACAACATACCCAATCCACTTTCTCATTATCCCAGACTTCTCATTGTATGGTATTTTAATGATAAGCTTTGGATGTCATTCCTATAAATATTCCTTATTACGACAAAAGCAACATGTAACAGAATTATTGAAACCAATTCGTAATAACCTTAATTAAAGCATTTCAACCTTGCAAATCAGTAAATATAAGTTGCCAATGGGTTTTTAAATATGCCATCTTTGCTTAACACCTTCAGCATGATTCACTGAAATTCCTCTTTCAATCCCTTTTGAAGGTTACTGTTTCTAAGTTTCAATATTCCAAAAGTACAGATAAGGACTCATTATCACCATTACTAACACCACATTGTCCTAGATGTTTTAAAGGATGTTTACATGTTGTCATTTTTGTCCCATGCAAGATAATGCTTTGGCGATCTCCAGGTACCATGGCAGAGACTGAAGGCGTCCTCGGTGCGGTCACCTAGTTAAGTACAGACGTTTGTGCTGCAGCGGTCTTCCCTCCCTAGGCTAGTGAGCTGTCTCAGACAGACTCACACAAATACAAAAGCCACAGGGTCACAGGACAAGAAGGAGCAGTAACAACAGGAAATAGGACCGAAACTCATGAAAATGTTATCATGAAACCCATTATTTTATTTAATTGATATAATACTAAAAATAGGAAGCCACGCAATTATAAAGACAACTAATTACAAAGGACCAGTTAAAATTCTGAAAATTAAGAGTAATCTTCAAATACTTAATTATTTGCACTAAGTTTGAAACAAAGGAGGAAAACATTTCAAAATCATTCAAATACTACTGATTCATTACCTTTCCATTCCACTGTCCTTGTACAAGATCCAGTTTATGTGTAGTTTCCAGGGAGGTATACAGA